CCTGTAGAGGCACCGCTGATAAACCCATGTTGTTCTGCGGGGATCAGATTGTGCTTCAGCAAATGAGACACAATTTTATCACGTAAAATCATCTCCAGAGCTTTAGCAGGGGGTGCGTAATGCTTATGGGGCGAAACGAAGAGACATGCTCAGGCTCAGGCACCTTAGGAATGGCAGTAACAATGGATTCTTTCCAGCTCTGTGGGACCTAAAACATGAGAGAAGCTTTAATTATCATACAAATTAGTTTGTATAAAAATATGGCACCCCTGAGAGTATCGAAGGTAACGCGACTTTCGGGGCTAATATCAGGATCATCAAGGCTTGTGTTACCCAAAAAGGAGAAAACTTTTTGGGAAACGTAGACAAAGTGGTAGGAGGTTGGAAAAATCTAGGGAAGAGGTAACATGGGGAGGGGGGTCGTACTTGAAGATGGAATTAGGGGGGGGGGTCGTATTGCAATGGTGTGCCCTGGTAGAACATACTCAGAGAACGTAGACTCCAGTCCAGTCCGCTGTAGAGATTTGGAGTCCTCTCTGCACTCAATCATCCCGCGTTATACTTAGGAGGGAAATTCAGTTGGTCAGTAAATATTTCCAGCGATGTTTGTAGCATGGCTCACATCTTGCACTGTTGTGCTTACGACTGCCTTCTGATTTTGTGGAGTGCACCTATCAAGGAAGCGATAAAGCAGCTTTCGGAGTGGTTTCCTTCTTTCCTCCTAGGTCTTCCATGAGAACAGTTTCAGAAGGCTTGTAAGACGCTGGTGATGTTAGGACACGTACATTGTACACACCAAACGAGAGGGCTTGTAAGGGAGCCGCTCTGGATCAGGGTGCATCCATAGGGGCTTCCTCAGGAGATGTCATCCTGGATGCATCAACAATTAGTGCAAAAAACTACCCTGTCTGTGTTCCATTTCACACCCGCTCACGCCCTCTTATTTGCAGGGATAATAATTGTGGACTTGTGGACAGGCAGCACAGGTAGGAATTCTCCATGCAGTTGCAGTTTTGCTTCACTTTGAACGTTCTCCCACGTAATCGTGAAGTGATTCTGCTTGAAAATTTCGCTAATTTGTACCCTCGTTATGAGCATGTCGCCTCAGGAATCAACGTCGTTTCCACAGAAGCTGTCCTGCAATGAAGCGCAGAAGAACTGCTGCATAATTCGTATTTGAAACGAACGCAAGTATCAGCGATTTATGTACATACAATTTAGTAACGATGAGTAATGCACTAGGTGCTCAACAAGTACAAATCAATAACAACTCATAGCCATTTTGTTTTCGAATATCAGAGAATCACAGCTGCGATTGCTTGAATTCGCGTCGTAAACGCTCGATTCGTAGATCGTTCATTAATTGAACAGGCACTTCTTCTGCTCCGTACATATATTTTTCACGTAACATATCATCTACTGCGCTTGTCGACTCCTCACCATAGCAATAATCCAGCATGTCCTAAAAATTGAAGAACATTAATTAGGGACCTCAGAAGCGTAAATGAATCCCCAAAATACAAATAATTGTCAGAGTGGCTTGAAGGAGGGACAACTACAATGTAAAGCAAGTATGCTCGTGTTCGCTGCGAGTGATGGGGCTTGTCAAGGGAATGGGCTTGAAGAGATGAAGATTTTTTTACTGATTCGGTCTCAATCCAAATTGCGCCCAGCAAAGGCGTCTTGAAAAGACGTTAGTACAGATATGCTCCGCTGGTGGTATTGCAAACTGTTTCCAGGTGGAAATACGGTCTCGACGGAAAGGAAATCTATTCGCCATTTGCACGGTGCCAAGATCCTACTCTATATAATGCGCTAAGTATGTCTGTCCGTCTGTGTATACAGGGGGGGGCCAAAAAAAAAAGTCATTTTGCCTCCATGACTTT